TTTTTTTTTTTTTCCTTCCGTATTTTTAGTAGAGATGGTGTTTCTCCATATTCGTCAAGGTGGTCTTGAATTCCCGACCTCAGGTGATCTGCCAGCCTCGGCCTCCCAAAGTGCTGGGATTACAGGCCTGAGCCACTGCACCTGGCTTTGTCCACTCTCTTTTAACGCTACTCCAATTGGCTTTCTTTTCAACCCTCCATTGAAATTGCTGTTGTCAAGATAATCAGCAATGTCCTCATTCCTACATTCAGTGGTCAGCTCTGACTTCATCTTAATTGATCTGCAGCATGAAACACTTTTTTTCATTTTGCCTCCAGGACATTTTCTCTCGTTTCTTACTGGTTACTCTACCTCAGTCTTATTTGCCGGTTCCTTCTCATCTCCCACACCTCTAAATGTTGGAGTACCTCAGGGGTCAGACATCAGATATCTTTATCCACACAGACTCCCCAGATGGCCTCAACTAGTCTGGAGCATTTAACTACATTATTAACATCTCCAGCCAGACCTTGTCCCTGAACTCCAGGCTCATATATCCAACTGACCACTTGACATCTCCACTTGGACATCTAATAGGCAACTGTAAAATGTCCCAAAGTTAACGTTGGATTACCTGCCCCCTCAAAGCTTCTGCATTTCAGTAAATAGTAACAAGTCCTTCCAGTTTCTCTAGTCAACAATCTTGAAGTCATACCTAAATTTTATCTTTCTCCCATCCAATCTATTACTGCCAGCTTTACCCCTTCAGACTAAACACATTCAGATCTGACTGCATCTCACTACCTACCTATTATCTCTCACTTTTGTTACTGCAATAGCCTCCTAACTGGTCTTTCTCTTATAATCTGTTCTCAACATAGCAGCCAAAGTGATCATTTTAAACTGAATCCAATTTGGGGTGGGGTGGGACAGGTGGGAGGAGATGAAGACAAGATGAAGATCCCTAAATGGGGTGGTGGTAGCAAGTGGGCAAGAAAAGACAAGAATCAGAGAAAGAGGAAGAAAAGAAATCATCCAAGGAAGGGGAGGAAAAAAATCACCCATTTCAGATTTATATGTGGGCTGGAGGAAAAAGTTTCTGTTAACGTTTTCACATAGAATAAATATACAAAACCATGGGGGTGGGTGGTGGAGAATGAGTCACATTCATCTATTCAAATGTTTAAGCACTAGGCTCTAGGGATGTAACAGTGAATAAGACAGAAAAAAAAAAAAAACAATTTCCTGCCTTCACAGAGCTAATATTCAGTTTTCCTACTAAAACATAAGTCAGATGTCACTTTTTAGTTGAAGACCATCTGATCTTCTGGTAAAAACCAAAGTTCTTATGGTGGCTTAAGATGCGTTACTTGACAGATCTAGCTACCCCTCTGACCTGATCTTCAGCTCTTTACTCCTTTTGCTTCAGGCGCACCAGCCTCCTTGTTGGACCTTGAACCCTCTCTCAAGAGCTTTTACACTTGTTCCTTTTGCTTGGAATTCCCTTCCCTCATATCTTCATAGCTTACTCTCACTTGAATTCTGTGGAGATGTCACCTTGTCTGTCTTTGGGCAAATTAGGAAAGGAATACCTCCTTAGTGGATGCAATCTTTTAAGCACATGGCCTAAAGACAGACAGTCTTTGTATGAAGAAATGGCATCTTTTCTAGCAAATGCAACCCTGCAACAGGGCATCATTCAGGGTTCTAAAATTCCAGCTACTTGGGAAACTGAGGCAGGAGGCTCACTTGAGCCCAGGAGATTGTGGCTGCAGCGAGCCATGATCACACCACTGCACTCCAGCCTGGGTTACAAGGTGAGGCTCCATCACAAAAAACAAAAAACAAAAAAAAGAAATGCATTGGACGCTTATGCTAATTTCCAATTCAGAAATTAGGAATAGTTGCCTATATCATTCCTATTTCCCATGTTTTCAAAAATGTTATTTTTAGTTTCTGAGACAGGGTCTCACTGTTGCCCAGGCTATAGCACAGTGGTGCAATGTTGGTTCACTGCAACCTCCACCTCCCAGGCTCAAGTGATCCTCCCACCTCAGCCTCCCAAGTAGCAGTGACTACATGCACACACCACCACACCTGGGTAATTTTTGTATTTTTTTTAGAGATGGGGTTTCACCATGTTGCCCATGCTGGTATCAAACTCCTGGGCTCAAGTGATCAGCCTGCGATGGCCTCCCAGAGTGCTGGGATTACAGGAGTAAGCCAGTGCACCAAGCATAAATCCCTTTTTCCATAAGCGGACAAGAAATCAGTTTTATCCGTGAACCCGTTTTTCATAGTTGTATGGAAAAACCCCCACAAACTCAAAGTCCTTTTTCCTATTTTCTCCCTCAACAAGCAACACAGACAGAAGACTTCTGTGACCAAATGTGGGGGAATTTCTCATCAACACACAAGCAATCAGTTCTGCACTGGACACCAGCCGGGTGTTCTGTAATTCAATTCAGATACTATCTACCTGGAGATAGTGTCAGAGCCTACAGGTTGAGGGCCCAGTCCCTGAAACTGCTCCCTCCTCCCACCCCAGCACAAGTTGCAAATCTGGGCCTACAGAACTTCTGACTGACTGGCTTCAAGTTGGAGTACCAACTCCTTCTCTCGATTAATCTGCTTGAGTAACTCATAGAATTGAAGCAAACACATTTACTAGTTTACTATAAAAAACATTACAAAACATACAGATGAAGAGATGCACAGGGAAAGGTATGGGGGAAGGGGTGCAGAGCTTCCAAGCCCTCCCCAGGGCACCACCCTCTAGGAACCTCCATAAAAAAGTCTACCAATGGTACAACTATTTATTTGGGATAATTTAAAGATGATTCTGTTCAACAATCTTGGACAATTCTTTTTACTTATTATCTTTTTACAGTAAACAAAGTATAATCCCAAAGTTCTGCAGATATTTAATTGGGAAAAGACACAACCCTACAGTCAGTTGGGAAAAACTACCTTTAGAAGAGAAAAATGTATTATTTGGGAAGAAATATATTAACAGAACTGTATTTCCAACCCATTTACTTTTTAGGCCATGAAATGTTCTCATTTGAGCCACTTCTTCTGTGCACACACATTTAGAGAACCTTTTGAAAATGAATTAAAAGTCTTTGCCTTCTTCAATCTGTTGATAAACTCTTGAGAATCCTGAGAAATCTCCAGAAAACCAGTATGTTTTCTCTGGGGAACAAATTTCAGAGCCTCTTCCCAACTACCAGTGTTTTTCAGACATAACAAAATACGCATCATTTGATCTAAGGTGAGATTTTTGTTACCAGTATCCCATTGTAAATATTTATCTAATGGAAGGCATTCAGTTGCCAGCTTCAGCCGTTTTGCCTTGGCTAGGGATGTGCCTGGCTGCATCTTCTTATCAACAAAAGACCCAATTATATAAACTTTGTCATGCCTGAAAGTAGTCATAACATTGGGAGAATCTGCAGTTAAATAGATAATACTGTCCTTTGGAAATAAATCTACATGAGACTTTTCTGTTGCTGTTAAAAGCAGTTTGTCCCATTTTTCTTCATACCGTTTAACCAACTCTCTGTGATAAGCACTATCTGTTTTTAGATTGCAGAAATAAATATGGAAAGGATCAACATTTCTTCTGTTCCATCCTTCACTTTCTAAAAGCTGGGAAATAGTATACTGCAATTCTTCTGGTTTCATATAATTTTCGTAAGCCATGTCAAAAACCAAAGGTTGTCCAAACTGCATGGCCTGGGCACCCTTCCAACCCATTGCAATGTTTATATTCCTATCCCAAAGTCGTAAGAATAGAAAGTTTTGCTGTTTATCTTCCTCAGTGGTTTCCAGCAGCTTGACATTTTTTGCTGCTTCCCTTGCTGCTGCTTTCATTTCCTTTTTTATTTGCTTAGCTTTTTTGTGTTTTTCCTTCAAATATAAATATTTTAAATATTTTTTTTTTGCTGTTTTAGAAACACATTCCATAATGGTTTTGAGCTCTTCTTCAGTGATGTGTTCTGGTACTTCTTTGCCAAGCAATCTCCACATCTCAATGAACTCTCTGGTGGCAGCTAGAGGATCTTCATCCTTACTGCTTGAGACTGTTGAAACACATTCTTCTTGCACACTAGATTTCATGGTAGTTTTCCACTTATCCAATTCTAGCTCTTCAGAAGGGGGTGTACTCTCATTATTAGGAGAAGTAACAGCTGGTATTTTGGAGGATATGTACCTCGGCAAAATTGTTGAATATAAATTATTTCTCTTCCTATGAAGGGTAAATGGCACCAAAAACCTGGTGAAGGGTCTGAAGAAACTGACACAAACACTCATTTTGAGGAAAGCAGATATGTAAGAAAACTCCTGTAAAAGAAGAAAAATGCAATTAAAAATTAAGATTTTTAAAACTTAACAACTAATTGTGCAAGTATAAATCTGAAATACCAAAATAAAATCAATTTTTGAAACACAAAGTCAAATCTTTGTACCAATTTTTTTTTCTAGACTCCTGTGGCCTAGAGCCTGTGATCACTCATTGAGCAAAAAGTTTAAAACTTAGTTGGGTTCTTGGCCGGGTGCAGTGGCTCATGCCTGTAATCCCAGCACTCTGGGAGGCCAAGGTCGGTGGATCACCTGACGTCAGGAGTTCAAGCCTAGCCTGGCCAACGTGGTGAGAAACCTCATCTCTACCAAAAATAGAAAAATTAGCCAGGTATGGTGGCAGACACCTGTAATCCCAGCTTCTTGGGAGGTTGAGGCAGGAGAACTGCTTCAACCCGGGAGGTGGAGGTTGCAGTGAGCCAAGGTTGTGCCACTGCACTCCAGCCTGGGTGACAGAGTGAGACTCTGTCTCAAAAAAAAAAAAAAAAGTTGGGTTTTTATTTTAGAAATGAATTTCACTATTGCTTTAGCTAAAAGGATAACTTTCCTTTTCAGATTTTTATCTAGGGGCCCAGATAATGTTACTGGGCAACAAATTTGTGTATCACCAAGGCAGCTGACATCATGATGCTACATTCTCCTCCATTCTACACTAAGCCCAGATACAGAACCAAACACAAGATCCTTCACAAAAGCAACAAATAAAGACAAAGGACATGAAAGCAACTGAGAATGGCAACAGGTAAAAAGCACTTAGGAACTGCTGTACCAATGCCCTCATTATAGAAATATACTGAGATCTACTGATCAAAAAATGGCAACAAACTCTTCCCCAGTTCAGGCTTTATTTTGCAGCAAATGTTTTTAACAAAGAAAATGTCCAAGATTGGGACAAATGTATAAAAAGCTCCACAATTTTATCCTAAAGGCCTGGATGTCCTTGAGATATTGAAAGTGCTTACAGATGTAAAACTAGTCTCAAATTTGAAGGAAAAGAAATAAAGGGAATTCAAATTTTTACAAAATGCAAATAAAACACTTGAAAAATTCCTTCTTCCCTTGGCTTCATTTAATGACCCTGCACAGGTTTCCTGCTCTCTGACCAGTGCACTGATGTCCAGATGCCCCTCCTTTAAAGGTGGATATAACTCTGCATTCTATCCTATTCTTTTTTTCAATCTATATATTTCCCTTGTGCGATGTGACTTACTTCTGTGGCTTCAATGACCATTCATCAGAAAGACACCTCAAATGCTTGCCGGGTTCGGTGGCTTACTCCTGTAATCCCAGCACTTTGGAAGGCCAAGGAGGGAGGATCGCTTGAAGCCAGGAGTTTGAGACCAGCCTGACCAACATGGTGAAACCCCATCTCTACTAAAATTACAAAAATTAGCCAGGTGTGGTGGTGCACGCCTGTAATCCCAGCCACTCGTGAGGCTGAAGTAGAAGAATTGCTTGAAAAGGTGGGGGGGGCGGAAGTTGCAGTGAGCGGAGATTGTACCACTGCACTCCGGTCTGGGCGACAGAGTAAGACTGTCTCAAAAAAACAAACAAACAAAAAACACCTCAAATGCAACAAATCGAAATAACCCCTCTACCTTTGTTTCACAATCTGGTCCTCCTTCAGTGTTGTTTCAAGGGATATTGCTATCCATTAGCATTGTTCCCAACATATATTTCTAAGCCTATTGCGGCCAGGTCAGCAGCATCTGCATCTCTAGCTACTCTTCACCTCACACTTTAGTATTCCACCATTAGTTTTCACAGCACTCTTGTCCCTATGACAGTACTTCTAACACTGTACTGTAATTGGCTGGTTATCTATTTGCCTCTCTAGATGGTAAGGACTAACTAGTGTCCATGAGGACAAGGACTTTGTCTATAATGTTAACATTGAATCCAATGCTTGACAATATTTGGCTCACAGTAATCACGCAAATATTTTCCTAATATCCTTGCTCGATGCTTCTTACATTAAAAAAAAGAAAAAAAGTTCAGCCTCCCTTTATTTTTTTTTTGAGGAGTATCGGAGTGCAGTGGCGCCATCTTGGGTCACTGCAAGCTCCGCCTCCCGGGCTCACGCCATTCTCCTGCCTCAGCTTCGCGAGTAGCTGGGACTACAGGCGCCCACCACGCCCGGCTAATTCTTTTGTATTTTTAGTAGAGACGGGGTTTCACTGTGTTAGCCAGGATGGTCTCCGATCTCCCGACCTCGTGATCCGCCCGCCTCGGCCTCCCAATGTGCTGGGATTACAGGCCTAAGCCACCGCGCCCGGCTCAGCCTCCCTTTAAAGATAAAACAATTTACTTTAAAATCCCCGAAATATTTAAGCTGGAGTCCCCACGCACCAGTCTAATAAACACTGATTTCAGAAAGAGTTTTAAAAGTTTTATTCTTGTAACTGGTAAAGACTTAGAATACCACAGAAATGAAAACCCCACTTGTAAAAAGCAATCAAGGACATCGTTTCAGGAACCACTGATTTTGTTTAAGGTACTGTACTAGTTACAGTTTATTATTCACTGGGCTTCCTCTTACCTCTGGACCTTCCGAGCGCATATGCTCCAGTAAGTGCGTCTCGGAACGTCTCCGGCGTCCTCCCACCCCCAACACAAACATTAGGAGAAAGAAGAAACTCGCTTACCAGGAGTGCAAAGATAGTGGTTCTAGCTGACGCAAAGTGCAGGGACCCTAGAGGACGAAGGACTCCGCCGTATGGACGCCCTGCGACCCGCGCCGAAGCCAGCACGCAGCTTACCCAACATTCCACACGATAGACCAAAGCGGTTGCTGGGGCTCAGGCGGAAGTTCCGCCCTCTCCCTTCCGGCGCTGCTTTTTTATGTCACAGCACGCAAAGAACGCTTTCCCGGCTGAAAGAAGCGCCCTAGACGAGACAGGTGTCAGTAGGCAGTTGGGTACTTGCAGACTACGCTCTTAGTTGTCATGGACTTGTACCTGTGTTGTGTTGTGTTATGTTGTGTTGTGTTTTCCTCCGTTTATCCTAAAAACTGTCTCTGGGCCAGCCAGGTGGCTCACGCCTGTAATCCTAGCGGTTTGGGAGGCTGAGGCGGGCGGATCACTTGAGGTCAGGAGTTCGAGACCAGCTTGGCCAACATAGTGAAATCCCGTCTCTATTAAAAACACAAAAATTAGCCAGGTCTAGTGTCGCGCGCCTGTAGTCCCAGCTACTCAGGAGGCTGAGGCAGGAGAATCACTTGAACCCGGGAAACGGAGGTTGCGGTGAGCCGAGATCGCGCCACTGCACTCCAGGCTGGGCAACAGAGTGAGACTCCGTCTCAAAAAGCAAAACAAAAACTGTTTCTAATCCTGTTCTCAACCGACTCTCCTCTTGGGCTCCCTATTTATAAGCATTTGCTGACCAAATACTAAAATAAAGTGTGTTTTTTCCCACAAATCTTCTTACTCAGCTTCAAACTCCCTGATGCTAGGACTTTAAACTCTTAATCTTTTTGACCAGTTTATCACCAGTACCTGTCACTATGTTTGGAACATGGTAAGCCACAGTAAGTTTCTCTCTCCTCCTAGTTCATTTGGAAAATTTAATGTGAAATGAAGTTAAAACACTGTTGTAAATTGGTGGCCTTTGGGTCAAAATCCAGCCTCCACATATTTTGTTTAGCTAGCACAGTGTTTTTATGTTTTCAATTATTTTAGTTTAGCTGTCATCTTAAAAACATATGGTACAAGACCATTTACTGGGGAAAGGTCAATCTTTTCGACAGTTCGTGCTGGGAAAACTGTATATACACATGAGAAGAGTGAAGTTGGACCCTTACCTAACACCATATATAACAACTAACTCAAAATGAGTCAAATACTTAAATATAATAGTGTAGTGAAAACTATAAAACAGAATTAAACATAGAGGAAAATCTTCATGACATTGGATTTGGTAGATTTCATAAGTATGACACCAAAATAATAGGCAACATAAGAAAAAATATACAAATTGGGCTTCATAAAATTGAAATACTTTTGGGCCGGGCGCGGTGGCTCATGTCTGTAATCCCAGCACTTTGGGAGGCCGAGGCAGGCAGATCACGACGTCAAGAGATCGAGATCATCCTGGCCAACATGGTGAAACCACGTCTCTACTAAAAATGCAAAAATTAGCTGGACATGGTGGTGTGTGCCTGTAGTTCCAGCTACTCAGGAGGCTGAGGCAGGAGAATTGCTTGAACCTGGGAGGCAGAGGTTGCAGTGAGCCGAGATTGTGTGACTGCACTCCAGCCTGGCAACAGAGCGAGACTCTGTCTCAAGAAAAAAAAAAAAAAAGAAGAAATACTTTTGTACATAGAAGGACACTGTCAACAGAATAAAAAGGCAATCCACAGAATGGGAGAAAATAGTTGCAAATCATGTATCTGTTAAGGGATTAATATCCAGAATATGGCTGTGCATGATGGCTCACACCTGTAATCCCAGCACTTTGGGAGGCCAAGGTGGGCGGATCACCTGAGGTCAGGAGTTTGAGACCAGACTGTCCAACATGGTGAAACCCCGTCTCTACTAAAAATACAAAAAATTAGCTGGCATGGTGGCAAGCGCCTGTAATCCCAGCTACTTGGGAGGCTGAGGCAGGAGAATCGCTTGAACCCAGGAGGCAGAGGTGGCAGTGAGCCTAGATTGCGCCACTGCACGCCAGCCTGGGCACGACAGAGTGAGATTCCATCTCAAAAAACAAAACAATGACAACAAAAAATCCAGAATATGTAAAGAACTAGAACTCGACAACAAAAGAAACCTAAACAACTCAATTCAAAGTGAGCAAAGAACTTGAGTAGACATTTCTCCAATGAAGATACAAAAATGCCCAGTAAGCACATAAAGAGATGTTCAACATTATTATGGAAATGCAAATAAAAACCACAATAAGGCTGGGCATGGTGGCTCATGCCTGTAATCCTAGTGTTTTGGGAGGCTGAGGTGGAAGGATCACTGAGTACAGGAGTTCAAGATCAACCTGGGCAACATAGCAGGACCCCATCTCTACTAAAAATAAAAAAATAGCCAAGTGTAGTGGTGTGTGCCTGTCGTCCCAGATACTTGGGAGGCTAAGGCAGGAGGACCACTTGAGCCCAGGAGTTTGAGGCTGCAGTGAGCTATGATTGCACCACTGCACTGCATGGGTGACAAAGCAAGTCTGTGTTTTTCCTGTCTCTAAAGAGAAAAAAAGCCAAAAAAGTTAAATGTTGGCAAAGACGTGTAGAAATTGGAACCTTGTATATTGCTGGTAAGAATGTAAAATGGAGCGGATACAGCTGAGCATGGTGGCTCACGCCTGTAATCTCAGCACTTTCAGAGGCTGAGGCGGGCGGATCACGAGGTCAGGAGATTGAGACAATCCTAGCCAACACGGTGAAACTCCATCTCTACTAAAAATACAAATATTAACTGAGCATGGTGGTGCATGCCTGTAGTCCCAGCTACTCGGGAGGCTGAGGCAGGAGAATTGCTTGAACCTGGGAGGCAGAGGTTGCAGTGAGCCGA